GTGGTGGTGGTGGTGGTGGTGGTGGTGGTGGTAAAGGCATTGTACCGTACTCCCTACATAGATGCTAGCTTAAAACCCAGACAGGTGACTGCGTGCACCCGTGGCTGAAAATTGGTATCGCCTCCTGGCCGCGGGGACGGAGCAAATGTTAGCAGGGGGGCATGTTAACGTGTCTGTTAAAAGAGTTGGTGTCAGACACCCAGGTCTCCAACAGTTCTCGCCCTGTCTTATTGCTGGCCCACGCTACTATCCGCGTGCTCGCAAAGTTTAATTCGTGGCCGTCCTCCAATATGTGAGTGGCAACCTAAGATAACGGGTCGCCTCTCCGGACCACCCATCTATGCTCCGTTCTTCGTGAGCTAGGTCGTCGTCGTCCGGTCTGTCCTGTGTAGTGGCGAGGACAGTCCCGAAATGGGATCTGATAAACGACACCCGATTTTTCTCCTACGTCTAGTCGGTCCTTCACTCGCATGATTTTATTGCGCATGATCGCTGTCGGACGGTGAGCGATACCCACGCCGGGCTCTCCAGCGATTCGTTCCATCGCTTCGGACACATTCTTTATATGTGTTAGAGGGTTGGCGACTCACCTCCGTTTGTTCGCCGTGGGTGCGTGCGGAGACAGCGGCTGACGAATCTGTCCGGGTATCCATTCCTTGCGTTTTTACCCTTTGGAAGAGTGTCCTAACACAACTGAGTTGATGCGCCATTGGGTGGTTACTGTGGTAGTTGAGAATCTGAGTCGTGTTAGTCGACTTTCTGTAAACCGTAGTGCTGAGTTCGTCAGTGAGTGCGCGTGTGACGAAAACGTCAAGCAAAGGCAGCTGTTCGGAAAGCTCTCCTTCCCTTGTGGACTGAATGTCCGGGAAGATGCCGTTAAGCAGGTCTTGAAAGTCGGCCAGTTTCCTCCTTTCAATTATACCGAACGTGTCGTCCACGTACCGGCGCCAAAATGCAGGTTCAAAGTGGTCGAAGGCAACTTTTTTCAGCTCCTGCAAGACTAGTTCTGCAACCAGGCTGGATATTGGCGAATCTATCGGTGCTCCTTTGATCTGCTTGGATGTTCTGTCATTAAAAGAAAAAAAGGTTTGTAGTCAGAAAGCAAAGAGTTGCAGTAGGTGGTCGATTTTTAGGGGTCTGTTCGTTTCGTCGTGGTTTTCTTCGAGTCGTTTGTATCGGACGTTGCGTGCCAGGTCCGGTGGGATAGATGTGAATGATAAAATCACGTCAAAAAACACCATAATCTGATCAGGTTGGACAACTTTTCCTCGGATGTCGGCCAGGAATTGGGAGGCCGAATTGATGGAGGTCCTCGAGCCTTCTCGGAGAAAGTTAAGTTTTCTCGCATCCACTTGGATAGGATGTAAGTGGGGCTGCCTTTCAAGGCAACGATCGGTCGAAGGGGAACATTGAGCTTATGGATGTTGGGTAATTCATAAAATCGAGCCAGTGCAGTGTCCGCTGATTTCATCTGTCGTCATTCGTCTAGCAATATCACACTATTCCGCTTGAGTCGGTTCAGTTGACCGATCATCGATGTGGCTCGTGAGGAAGAAGAGGAAGTCCGACTGCGCAGAGGACGCGGACCACAAACTGCTTATGAGGTGGCTTGAACGTTGATTTGTTCGCAGTGAAGCACACCGTCAATGCAAATAACTCGTTCCTTCCTCCCACGTCCATTGAAGCATCAGTGCTGTGGTAGCCGGCTCCCGCGATTGCCAGCACAGCCGCTTTCTCATGTAGCCTTTCTCTTCACCTCCTGTTCCCTCTCAATCGATGAGTGGAGTTCCGCGCGGGACTTGGCATTGACGTCATGAGAGCTGGGGGCCAATCACCGCGGCGTCCTTCGTTGATTGGCTACTAACAGACAAAGCCTAAACACACGCAAAAGGAGGGGGACTATGCGTCTCAACGGCCATTATTTGTCTGTTCAGGGCGCTTGTGTTAGGTACTTGCTGGGTCGATTGTGCGCTCTCTAGCCTTAATAAAGCTCGTGCAACCATTCTGTTTTTTTCTAAACTGTGATTTGGGGAACACCAAGTCATCGACACACCGCGCTTCGACGAGCGCAGTAAATTTTCAACTTAAGAATGATCTGGACCATAACGCCCAAAATATCCTGCTTAAACGAGTGTTTGTCAGATCTTCCGAGGGATCCACGCGACCGCAACAGCAACAAAGGTCTACTGCAGTCTCAAAACAGCTCAAAAGGAAGACCAAATATCGCGTCAGGTGGCATAAGCCCAAACCGAGACTTTAGGCATACCAGAGTAGTCTTTGGAGCGTATGGTTGTTTTTGTTGAGGAAAGGGGTCTGCGTGAAATTCCCACTTTTCCTCCTCCTCCTCCTCCTCCCCCTCCTCCTCCCCTCTTCTCCTCCTCCTTCTCCTCCTCCTCCTCCTCCTCCTCCTCCTCCCCCTCCTCCCCCTCCTCTTCCGGGTTGACACGTTTGAAAATAATCTTGGACTCAGTGACGTATCTGAAGTGACCGTTTAGTGAGTGACACGTTGGATCCCGAATCACACATAGGTTAAAATTGCATTAGGAGCCAAATAAAGAACGATCCGTTGTAATCTGACCCTCTTTTCAATGCGGCGCAGCGTTATCCAATCAGCTAGTAGTCTTCTCATCAAGGACTTTTAGCGCTTCGATGTAAAATCAAGCGCGTCGAATTTGATAGAATAGGAAATGTACTGATTTGCCGTGCGGAATTATTCCCCTAGTATCTCCCTCATTCCGTTTTCCCGCGACCACTCACCAGTGTCTTCTCCGATCTTCTCTGACAATGAAATTTGTCCTAATGGCTATGGTGGCTTCAATCTCAGACTGGCGAGTGTCACACGCATGTGACACAACAATGGTTAATCACTCTCTTCGACTGAATGCAATCCTACAGTTGCATGCATGACGATCCTAGGAGTACGCATGGGTGTAGCCTACCTTAGAATTTGGGCTCGTGAAGCCATAGAACAGAGTGGATCCGGTCTGTATTTGTGGCACAATTGGAGCCGGTCTGACCCTCAGCTCGTGGTGAACAGGAGTGTGTTCGGCAACAATGCTTCCGTCATGGGCCTTCCGGTTAACATTTTGCGACCACGAGGTCCAATTGAGGTTGTATTCAGAGCAGTTGTTGCATGTCTGGTCATTGGAATTACGTTTGTCATGGGATGCGAGCTGGATCCACGTCTGATATGGAGGCATTTGAAGAGGCCCGTAGGTCCACTGATCGGTTTTTGTTGCCAATTTAAAATAATGCCCCTGGTGAGTCATCATCTGATCCAAGTACTACTGCATGACTATCCTAGTCCTTGCTGATCAAGCTGCAGCCACCCTCTGCAAAATAGGCCAGTCGGCGAATGGGTGGAAATTTGCATTTCATGCAAGCTGACGAAAGTGCACACTGGTGCTTAAGTGCCAAAGGCATTCCGGCCAGCGTCAAATGAGTAGTCAGTAAGAAGAAATGCATGAAATCCATACGGAATTTGCAAGTTTTTCACGCGGCCTACCAGTAGTTATCTGCAAGCTGTAAGATAAAGCTCTCAGGAATCAGGTCACCATTCGAGCTATCGCCTAATGGGTATTTCCCGCGTGCTTCCCACATTGGAAATCGACAAGTTTCTTCAGCAGTCTACTGCAGTGAGCTGGTCCGATGGGAGAATTTGGGTTTAAGAGTCTTCTACGTGCTTCCTGGTCGGATCTGATGATGTATCCATGTAAGCGAAAGGGGTACCGCGGCTTTAAAAGCAGCAATTAGAGAAAGGCATTTTCGAAACAACCATGTTCATGGTAAATACGCAAGCAGTATGTGGATAGTAGGAGAGTATGCAGAGGAGGAGACGCCCTCAGTACTCCTTCTCTTCATACGTGTGTATTTAGATCATACTGTGTTTTTGATATTATTGTTACATTTTGCTTTTATTATCAATAAGCATTGACTTTTTTGACCGAGTTAGTGTGCGGATAAGTTTGCTTATTTACAGTCGCATGATGTTGCAAACATTCATAATGCGTTTGAAGAAGAAGATGTGAAATCTTACACATCAGTGTGAATATCCACCACAGTCTGACGGTTGTCTGAAATGAACGATCAATATATACCGTCAGTTGGCGTAATCCAAAACTGGGACTTTTGGCATACCTGAGGAGTTTTATATCCCGTGTCGTTATTTGTCTTGTAGAAAAGAGGGTTGCATAGCGTTCCCTCCCATTCTTCCTGTTCTACTTCTTCCACTCAGCATCGGCTTGGTTAAAAATGCGTTTACGAACGGTGGCTTACCTGGAGTGACCGCCTAGCGCATGGCGCATTGGGTTCCGGACCACACATAATCTAAATTTGCACTAAGGTCCAGATTAAGCACGATAGGTTGTAGCATTATCCCATTTAATGACAACCCTCCCAACGACGACGTTTTTGTTTCTATGTAGACTCAAGTGCGTCTGACTGGTCACGATGGAGAATGCAGTAACTTGGCCTGCCTGTGCCTTCCTTGTGTCTTCTGCATAGCTGTCAACGGTCTGAAGATGGAATCTGTCATAAGGACTGATGCGGCGCCAATTTCAAAGCTACACGCATATGACAAGTCAGTGGTTGATCTCTATCATGGACATAATGCGAGTCTAAAATCCCATGCCATGACCTGTAGCAAACCTCGTATTGATCCAGGTCAGTTAGAGCGCGCCCCGTTTGCCAGCAAACTATGTAAAGTGCAACTGTTGAAATCCACCTTTGCTCATCTTGTGGATATTCTTACTGCCTACCTACGCAGATACTTACAGTAGATGTGCTAACTCATGAAATGTCAACCGAAATTTTGAAATGCGTTCTCGTTTCGAAAAGATAAATTAAGTAGTGTTGTAAAACTAATCATGTTGCAACATAAATCTATAATGATCCAGTCACCACAGGGTGTCGGCTTTCGAAAGAACGTATTTTCGGCTGCATGCAAGATCTATACTCCGCAATAAATGACTACTTATGTTGTATGAAATTTTCTCATTGATTCTCGATGTTCATAAAAATTTACGAATATTTCATGGTAGACACGCATAAAAATAATCATTCTTTTACTTTTTCGGTAGAAAATCACGTCTTCTTCCAAATTCATACTCAAAAAAGAGTGTAATTCGGTTTTAAAAAAGTTTCTAATTGTGAGATTTTTTAATACCGTTAGATGGCCGTTCATTAAACGTCATGTATCTGCATTTACGAATGTGGCTTGTAAAGCTAACAATATTGCTCAAATTCACTGCTTAATTCTATTAACCCAATATGGTGTCTTCTTAACATCGTAGAGAAATGCATGGTTTTCCGTGCACGGAAAGTATACAGCTTGTAATTTTAAAACCCTGAATGCAAGTGTAATAGCAGGTCGGGTTCAAAATTATTCGAGAATTAGAACAGTTTTTTAAAACGGAATTATACTCTTCTTTTGAGTATGAACTTGGAAGAAAAAGGTAATTGTCTACCGAAAAAGTAAAAGAATGAATATTTTATGCATGTTTTCCATGAAATATAATTGAATTTTCAAGGGCATCGAAAATCAATGAGAAAATTGCATACTTATTAAGTAGTCATTTTTTGCAGAGTAATGATCTCGCATGCAGCCAAACATAAGTCCTTTCGAAAGCTGACACCCTGAGGTGACTGGATCATTATAGATTTATGCTGTATCATGATTAGTTTTACAACACTACTTAATTTATCTTTTCGAAACGAGAACGCATTTCGAAATTTTGGTTGACATTTCATGAGTTAGCACATCTACTGTACGTCCATATTGCGATGACTTCTGAGATGGGTCAGCTAGTTCACACGGAAATCCGACTGAGCGACACATGATCAGAAGCGCATTACACACCCACACGAATGCAATTGACCATTTATACTGTGGGGTGGTCCGGGGAGCAAATGATAGTGAAGGACTCCCTCCTTCACGAACATAAGGACTGCCAGTGGAAGATTCCTCCAATAACGCATTTAGCGATACGTCAAAGAAAGTCTATGCATCCGATCTTATAACCCTGAGTTAGTTAATTGTCGGACAGTGTTCCCACCACTCCGGTGTGAGGCCGGCATTTGCATGGACGTGTGCAGCTTGGACTTCCTGGGATCAGTGCGTGATGGCAGCAGGTAGGCCAGAAACGGGTATTCCATTGCATTTTTTTCATTAAAATGTCCTCAATTACTGAATTCTGGTCGCCGCGTGCGACGGACTCTCTACGCAGGGCACTCTCAGCTTCAAGGTGAATCCCTAGCTCTCACTTTCGTCCCGCAATCAGGGTGGGTGGGTGCGTGTCACTTTCATGTGTCGTAACTTACTGTGCTACAGTTGGTGGGCAGAGGAGGAAATATACTTTTTTTAATTATGCAAACAACTTTCGCTGCTGATTATCTAATTAGTTCATCTTGACGATAGTTTCCCCTAGACGTCTACAGGTGGTTTGACGTGGGCGAAAAACTATATAGGAATGCCTCGTTCATGTGACATGTTTCTGTTGGAGTAATACCACATTTTAAACGGCGTGACGCCTCTAGCAAGTACATCCGTCGGACTAGAATTAGTATCGGATAATTAGAAAACCCATCAGGCTTTGTGCTGAAGAAATTTTGACAGACTATGGTCTTCTTTCCGTTTCCTTGGTTGCCTTCGGCTCCGTTCAACAAATGCTCGCGGCTTGCCGTTGGCTCTGAAGAGTTCTTGGAGGAGCTTCATCTCGTCCAGTTGGGCGGCTGGCGTGCTGCAATGAGTTTCCACCCGTCAATATAGCCTTCGTACACAGCTTACCTTGTGTTGCATTGGGTAGTTGCTGTTGTAACTGAGCCTTTGCAGCGTGTTCGTCGGTTTTCTGAAGACCGACGTCGCCAGGTTGCTGTCTGTTTGGCAGCAGACGAGAAGATCCAATAATGAATGTTTGCTATCCACTTCCTCTTCCGCTATCGGGAATGATTGAGTTTGGAAACTCTTCATAGTAGTTAATTATATCCTGATCGATGATGACGAAGGTATCATCAACGTAGCGTGCCCAAAACTTGGATTCATACTCCTCGAACAGTCGCTTCTCGAGTTTTTTCAGATCTGCCTCGTCAATGAGCCCGAAGGTTGGTGGACCCATCGGAGTATCCCTAATTTGCTCATATGTGGTCCCCTCGAAAGTAAAAAAATATCTTGCAGCAGTGCCCTATGCGTTCTCTGTGACATGGAGCTGTGGGCTAGCCATGGCTCCCGTCGTAGTTTGACGTAGTAGGTCACTGAACGTCTCGACCGCAAGGTCCTGTGGTATGGACCTGAAGAGTGGGACGACATCAAATGGCACCATCCATTCATTAGGTTTGATCGTGACCGCCTCTATTTTGTCGAGGAATTGTTCTGCTGAGGATACTGTTGTTTGTGAGCCCGCGGTTAGGAATCTTAGCTTCTGAAGCAGCAAATTCGCGAGCCCGTATGTGAGTGTGCCTCGGAGTGAGACGATTGGTCGGAGGGAACATCTGGCTTGTACACCTCTGGAAAACCGTAGAATCATGTCATCGGTATTTCTGTGGGCTTTGCCATATACCATATACCATATACCAGTGATTACTTTTTCCTTCTTAAGTCGAGACATAGTTCTGCTAAACGTCGCCATTTCGGAAGTTAGACTGGCGGCGACGCTGACTTTTTAGGTTTCCCGGTCGTTGAGGAGCTTGAGGTCTTTGTTTCGGTAAGAAACCTTGTTAAGGATAACGGTTGACCGGCCTTTGTCAGCAGGCATAATACCTATTTCGGTGTCCGCTTTTAACTCCTTTAGGGCCTTTCGTTCATGTCTTAGCAAAAAATGGGTTTTTCGGCGAGACATGAGAATTGGGGAGATGTGATGTCTAAGGACGTTTTTTGTTTTGTCTATGGCGCCGGTTTGACGTAGCCCCGGTCCTAAAGAAGCAATGAAAGTGACCGGGTCTGCGTCAGTTGTGTTAAAACCGGATCCGCGTTGTAGAATTTTTGTTTAAGCCACAGTAAGATTTTTTGACGAGAGGTAGTGTAATAACGTTTGTTCAGTTTCGTGGGATTGTGCGGTATGCAGGGCCATTAACTTTTCCAACGAGTCTTCATCTCTGTTATCACGTTTGTTTCGTCCCAAACACCACCTGAACACCACCTCGGAATAGGAGATGCAACGGAGCATGGACCTGTTCTCCGCCGCCTGCGAGAACTTCGGTCTGGTCATTAACACGCAGAAGACGGTGGTAATGCACCAACCGCCACCCAACTCAGCCACAGTCCCCAACGCGTCGCCGCAAATCAGCGTGAATGGGACCCTACTGCAAGTGGTGGAGAACTTCCCGTACCTGGGCAGCTCTCTCTCCCGCACCACCAAGATCGATGATGAAGTCGCCAACAGGATCTTGAAAGCCAGTCAAGCCTTCGGTCGTCTCCAAAGCACAGTTTGGAATCGTCACGGTCTTCAACTGAACACGAAGCTCAAGATGTACAAGGCCGTTATCCTGCCGACGCTACTGTACGGAGCAGAGACCTGGACGGTGTACACGAGGCAGGCACGTCGTCTGAACCACTTCCACCTCAGTTGTCTTCGTCGCATCCTGCGGCTGAACTGGCAGGATCGCATCCCCGACACTGATGTGCTGGAACGAACGGGAATGCTCAGCATCTACTCCATGTTGAGAAAAATTTAGCTGCGCTGGAGCGGCCACCTGGTGCGCATGGACGACGATCCGCTACCCAAACGACTCTTCTACGGAGACGTCGCGACGGGTTCTCGTCGTCAAGGAGGCCCAAATCGTCGATACAAGGATACCCTGAAGTCCTCCCTGAAGCTACTGCAAATCAACCCGACCAACTGGGAAGAGCTCGCCTGCGATCGTCCGGCATGGAGGAGAACAGTGAAGACAGGCGCTGCTATCCACGAAGCCAACCGCATCGCCGCCGCCAAAGCGAAACGCGAAGCCCGCAAATCACAACTGCGCCCAGTCAGCAATGCTGTCGCACAACTTCTCCCAACGTGTCCTCGATGTAAGCGGACATTCCGGGCTCGAATCGGCCTTGTTGGACATCTTCGGATCAAATGTACTCTCGAACTGCACCAAACTTCATCCCCCAGCCCGCGTCATCCTCGTCCTCTCTGCCGCCGAATAACTCTGTGAATTCTTCTGCACCACCACTTCCATCCTCCTCCTCCTCCTCCTCCTCCTCCTCCAACACCACCACCATCCCCACCACCATTGCCCCAACGGCGGCCGCTCAGGCAGCCGTCTCGCACATCTCCGACCGCGACACAACAACCGGCACCACCCCCGCCTCTCCTGACTCCAGCAAAGAGAATCAGGACTACACCTGTCCTCACTGCGACCGCACCTTCACCTCACACATCGGCCTGGTCGGTCACTTGCGAATCCATCGCACAGAGACCGGCGAACCAGTGCCTGAAGCACCAACCTACACCCACCGCACTCGCCTCCACTGCCCTCGCACCTTCACGCATCGCATGGGTCTATTCGGCCACATGCGCATCCACGAGAGCGGAATCGACCACAATTCCGACACACCAACCACGCCCATCATGCCCAGCACCACCCTCGCACCGTCCATCTGCGCCACCATCAACGCCTCCTCTGTAGCTGATTCTGACACCGCCGACTTCACGTGCCCGGTCACTTGCGAATCCATCGCACAGCGACCGGAGAACCAGTGCCTGGAGCACCAACCTACACCCAACCAGCTCGTCTCAACTGTTCACACTGTCCTCGCACTTTCAGGCACCGCATGGGCCTATTCGGCCACATGCGCATCCACGACGACCTGCGGTAGACAACCGCCGGTTACACCACACATCCACACACTCCCTACCCTCCTCCACCATCACCAACACACATCAACACTTACCCACCGCATGCACCAACTGCCACCTTCCACGCAAGCGGGAAGTGTGCATCTCGTTTCAGTTCCCATGCAGCTTCGGCTGTACGGGTGATTTGAGTCCGAGACTATCCCGACACTTCAAGTGTCGAGGATAGGAAGGTTTCTGATTGATGCCCGCTCTCGGTTCACGCAGTTCGTCGCGTTGTGTGTGTGTGCTGTGTGGAGTGGCGGACTGGTGGGCTGGAAACGGGCTGAAGCAGCACCTTCCACGGCCCTCTCACGCCAGTGAGAGACACGCCGTTCAACCCCCGTTGTGTGAAATCCTGGTGTTTGTGTGTGTATGGGGGGGCAGGTCGTGCTGTGGCGCGCGCAGTCACGGTCAGTCGACCGTGGCACCCACCGCGCCCATCCACCACTCCAGTTTGCCGACCGGCTCGGACGGCGGCTGGAGTGTGGGAATGGGAAGGGAGAGTGAGGTCGACGACTCAGCGCACTTTTTCCTCACTATAATCAACCTGACGCGCTTGAAGCTATCACGGTGCGCTAAAAGCCGTGGCTTGTAAGGTTGCCAACTGACGGGGTACCTTGGAACTCCTCCTTAACGGGAGGCGGTCTGAGAGTCAGGATGCAATGGCTCCTTTTTAATGTGGCCTTTATGGCACTCCCATCACAGTGTGGGATCCGAGCCAGGCGTTGGCGGCACGCCTAGGTGCGGCTTCGGCCGTGCGAGCCTCCAAATCTCTGTTGTGTTGGTCGAAATCCTGGTTATTTGTTGTGTGGACCAGGGGGTGTGGTGGAACGCCAAGGTGAGGATCCGTCCGAGCCATCCACCTGCGGCCTCCCTCGTCTCCGGTCTTCTTGACTCTGTCTTGACACCGGGCTCCAGCGAGGGAGGTGGAGAGAGTGTAGGTAGATGCAGCGCAAGTCTACTGGCACTATAAACCCCTGCGCAAGTCACCGTCCTTGCTCCAACCTGCTGTGGGGCACACGGTGGACATCATCGAAATCGATGGTCGAACTGTCATATTAAGGTGTTCTCCAATGTGGTGGCAGTCGATCCACCACAGCAGCGTGTAACAAGCATCTTGAAGTTTGCAACATTGCGTGCGTATTTCCTTAGTCGTAGGTGGCAGTCTTGTGTGAGTACCCTTATCATTGTTCAGAAGAAGAAGCGATCTCTGGAACAATGGCTTTATTCGCCTGACGTTTCGGATTCTCTCTTGAATCCATCATCAGAGACAGTTGCAGAAAAGGGTGGCTAGTGTACAGGCAGTCGCAGTATTTATAGGATGCGGTCGCCATGCTACCGCATACCTACAGCAATTAACCGTGCTCCCTTCATCAAGGATTGTTGCCCGCAGGTGCGCTAATTGCTTGATGGCCGGCATGCAAGTTGTTAATTGCTGACATCTCATCACCCGTGTTGGATGCTGGCGAGATGATTGCTCGGCCATCTGGCTCACGTGCTTGCGCGCTCCTCGAGTGGTCAATTGCTTTGGCCAGTCTATGCCTCAGGACTGAATATGGAGTGGGGATGTCATTGCACTTGTTGATAGACTGAGGTCCCGTGAACCATGACTCAAGCAACTCGCGGCTCACGCAATTATCCCCTCTCGCGAGAATTTCGGCCTGATCGAACTTGAATGTGTGGCCGGGTCTCGTCGAATGGGCCGCGACCTGAGAGTTGGCGTCATTTCGCCGTACAGCTGCCACGTGTTCGGCAATTCGCGTCCGGAGCAGTCTTCCAGTTTCTCCGACGTAGTTGCTTTGTCCGCAACTGCACCAGATCCGGTAAACGACTCCAGATGTTTCTTGCCGTGGCAGTGGGTCTTTTGGTCTCATCACTTGACGCCTCATGGTGGCCTCCGGTCTGTGCGCAACTCCAACCCCAAGTGGTGCAAGAAGGCGGCTAACGGCCTCGGAGACGTTCTTGATGTACGGGATCGCTCGCCAGAATTTGGGGTCGGCGCGATTTTGTCGCTCGTCTCGTTTGCGCAAGTACTGGTTGACGAAGTTGCGCGGGTAACCGTTTTCTCGGAAAACCCGTCGAAGATATTTGGATTCGGCAACCTTGTCTTCCGGTTCACTGCAATGCGTTTCAACACGCCGAAATAGCGTTCTTACGCAACTGCGTTTGTGGCAGATTGGGTGGTTACTGTTGAAGTTCAGAATTTGCGTCGTGTTCGTTGCTTTTCTGAACACTTTGATCTTTAGGCCACCACAATCTTTGCGACAGACGAGGACATCAAGGAATGCCAGCTGGTTATTCTCTTCCTCCTCCTCCATCGTGAATTGTATGTCCGGGAAGACGCTGTTGAGACGTTCTTTGAGCGTTAGCACCTGATCCCGTTCGTTGACGACGAAGCTATCGTCCACATACCGAGCCCAGAATTTCGGTCTGTGGTGTTGGAAGACCAGCGACTCCAACCGCTGTAGCACCGCCTCGGCGATGAATCGCGAAATCGGCGAGCCCATCGGTGTTCCCTTCACTTGCTCGTAGATTGTTCCGTCAAACGTGAAGTACGTCCTGAGACAGAACTGTAGGAGCTGAAGGACTTGGGCATGTCCGAGAGGATTCTCCGTTTCATCGTATTTGTTTCGTAGGAGTAGCTGGACGGTCCCGATTGCCAGATCCTGGGGGATAGAAGTAAAGAGGGACGTGACATCAAAAGATACCATGACCTCATTGGGCAAGAGACTTACTCCTTTAAACTTCTCCAGGAATTGCGTTGACGAACAGACCGTGGTGTCCGAATCAGCGGTCAGAAATTTGAGGCGCCGAAACAGCCATCTTGCCAGTCCGTACGTTGGAGTGCCTTTGAGCGAAACAATGGGCCGGAGAGGAGCGCCCTCCTTATGCACCTTTGGGAGACGATAGAATCGGGCCAAAGCCGTTTCTTGAGCTCTTGCCATGCGTCGGTCGGTCGCTGTTATTGCACCCGAGTTCTCCAGTGCCAACAGCGTTGCATTAATTTCGCGTGTCAGCGTTTTTATGGGGTTGGTTTCACATGGGACATAGAACTGGCGATCCTCCAGTAGGTTTTTGGCCTTCTGAAGGTAGTCTGTTCTATCCAGTACGACGGTGGAACGCCCCTTGTCCGCGGGCACAATGAAGATGTTCTTGTCGGCCTTGAGTTCTCTTAGTGCATGGCGTTCGACCTTTGTGAGTGTTTCTCGCGGCTTGTGAGTCATAAGGAGGGACGTAACTTGGTGTCGGATAAGATTCTTCGTCTCCTCCGCCGCTTCCGTCTGATTAATGACCGATTCCACTGCTGCAATAATGTTGACAGGTTTGGCGTCAGCTGTGTTCAATGAGGCTTCGTGCCGTAAAACCTGTGCTTGCTCCTTCGTCAGTTCCTTTGACGACAGGTTGTGTACCAGTGTGCCGCTTCTGGATGACGATGGATCAGGCAGTTTGTGGAATTTGTTCCCCAGTGCTGCATCGCGTGTCGCTCTCTGCTCGCGGGCTCGTTCAGTCACTTTCTGTTGAAGCAGATTTGTGCCGTTCTCGCCCATGAACTCGCAGCATCTGGCCTTTTCTTGGTCAATTCTCTGACGGTATTTGCGTAGTCTCGCATGGCAATCTTGAAGGAGCACGCGGATCATACGTCTTCCGTGCTGAAATACTGCGCGTCTCGCTAGCTCCGTGGTTACCGGAGGTTTGTATGAAACACACTTCGGCAACACGTTGTTATCGAGACACCTGTGCAGAAACCGGATCTGCGCGTAAGTAGAGGCCTCTCGAAGGGCGAAAGTTTCCCATCGTCGGGCCGATCCTATAAATACTGCGACTGCCTGTACACTAGCCACCCTTTTCTGCAACTGTCTCTGATGATGGATTCAAGAGAGAATCCGAAACGTCAGGCGAATAAAGCCATTGTTCCATCGATCGCTTCTTCTTCTGATCAACTAGTTCCTGGAACTCGCATTTTCGCTTATACCCTTATCATTCCCCGGCTCTGAGGGAACATCGTTTGTTTAGCCAGTTCCGTGTTGACGGGAGGCTTGTGAGTGAGGCACTTTGGCATAAAATGGCTGGCCAAGCATCTGTGAAGAGAACTGAGCTGAGCATAGATCGAGGCCTGTCGGAGGACAGTTTGCTCCCAACGACAGGCCACACAGGCGCCGTATAATGAGATCTGCTTGCATGACTTCCCAGTCTCTGAAGATGAGTAGATGAAACGACTACTCGAAACGTTAGATCTCCAATACACCTCTCCCGGTGAACGCCTCCTTTTTTTGTTGAGAGGTGATTGTTTTTGTTGCAGATGCTGATTAGATAGAGACTCAAAACTCCCCTTTCCCACTCCCCCTAAACGGCTGCTTAGACATTCTAGACAGCTGCCGAGTTCCACTACGGGTTACATTTTTATCTGGTAGGGGGAAGATCTGAGTTAGTCTGGGCCGCCAATGGGACTACAAGCCGCCCAACGTGCCCGATTATTTAGGCGGAAGGGGGGAGGAGGAGAAGGAGGAGGAGGAGGAGGAGGATGAATGGAAAGAGGAACAGTGTTACCGGTGGAACACACTCACAACACCGGATACTCTCATCTCGTCCGACGTGCCGGTCGAGGCGGTTACCGGGATGTGACCACTAGACAATGTCCAGCTACGGCGTGCAAGAGACAAAGGTTGAGCAACAGTTGAAGACCCTGGGAAGCAGGCATAAACTACAAGAGACCCATTAGACAACCTGTCACCCCTTTCGGTTTCTCCGACCTAGTTGCTTTGTCCTCAACTTCAGCGGATCTGATAAACGACTCCAGACGTACAGTGCGTGACAGATCTCTCGTAATGTTGATCAAAATTCTGGAATGCGTTTCCGATTAGGAAGAATTACTTAAGTGGGGTTCTTATACTGATTATCATACAGCACAACCCTATACCATTTCGGACTCGCTTTTGAATGCACTTCTTCGTGACCCTCTTTCAGAAAGCACACTCGGTAGAAAATGACTAATAATTTAGCGTGAATTTGCCTATTGTTTTCCGATTGTCCTATAAATTAAAAAATATTTATAGAGAGCCTGCACAAAAATATGCTTTCTTTTGCCCATTAGGGAAGAAATCACATTGTCTTCATATTTATATCCGAAGGAAGTGTGCATTTAG